AATCCTGAGAGCTAAGCACTTGGACAGACTAACACCAGAGGAAAGGGCTGAAGCTCTCAAGAAGTGGAGAGGGGCTGGAAAGAAGAACCAAGTGACATCCAAGTATGTGGACCAATCCACTGGCAAGTCAGGAAGAAGACCTGTGTCTGGCCCTTCTGCTCATGCAATGAAGTCAGCAACTTCCTGTGCTGCTGAGCAAGGCGACTTGCCTCTCTGCGAGACTGCTTTAGACCTAGGCTTCTCTGCACCTGAGGCCTCAGACATGATGGACCCTAAAATATGAAGAAGGCAGGATACGCCCCCTGTTGAGAGGCAACTGTCCTTTCAAGTTTGGAAGGATTTTGAAGAAGCACCCCTGTTAAACAAAGATGACTCACATTTTTCTCTCAGGGGTGTGAGCATCTTACTAGGCTTGGCAAAGCTGACATTACAACCATCCCTGGATGTTTGTATGTACGGTTGTAAAAGAAGAATGTGATTTGACCTAAACAAACTCGAAAATGTCAGATATTTCAATCAGAATCACATGCTGTTATGATACATTTTTGGATTTTTATAAAAGCATTTTAGTTGACCTAGAACTGCAAACATCACTGGGATTCCTTTGAGATTTATTTATTTTCCTGGGAGCTCTCATATTCTTGGGAAGTGCTTTAAGAAAGCAGGTTCCAGTTTGAATTGTTTAAAATTAGCATACCTGTAATCTCAGGGCTCAGGAGGCTGAAGCAGGAAGATCATGAGTTTGAGGCCAGTTTGGGCTGCATAACAAAGTACTTTCCAAAAAACAAATAAATGTTTTAATTAAGAAAAAACTATATTGAAAACTAGATTCAGTCTCAAAGGAAATTTCCACATGAATATATATTACAAATGGTTAATTTACAGGTGAATTCTAAAGAGCCTTTTCAACAACAGTGGTAAAATATAGTAATAAGTGAACTGTTTCAAATATAGTTAGTGATTATCAATAGCTTTTATTTCTTCTGAAAAGATACCTTTGGTCTTCTGACTGAAGAGCTCAAGCATACCTCTCTGTTGATCTCAGTGTTTTCCTAAAGTGGAGCCATAGGAAGGAAGGGGGCAGAGGGATGCTTCTGCTCCATCAGGTACCGGGAATTGTTCCTCTCTCATCTTCTGTTTAAGAGAAGAGGTCTCATGAGGTCTGTGCAGATGTGGTCACTTGGAAACAGAAGCCAGAGGGCAGGCAGACAGAATCAGCGGAGCCTACCACCCGTTCATTGGGCAATTTCCTGTATGCTACAACAAACAATACCTCCTCAAAATAAGACAATTTCAAGCAATCTTCCAGAGACTACAAAAGGGTTTCATAGTCTTTGCAGTACCCAGTAACTTTTCTGCTGTGGTGGCCTTTGCAAAAGTGAAATATGGGTTGAGAGTAATACAGCTTTTTCTCAGGGAAGGTTTCCTGACGTTCCTAGAAAAACTTGTTTTTAATGTGTTCGGCAGGAATGTCTATAACAAGTTTACAGCTGTTACAAATCATATTTGCTGGCTTTGGTTAGAACCAAGAAACTATTCTATACCAAGTAAAGCCTCACGCTATAAAAACATCAAATATCCGTGTTGAAGTCATTTTAAAATTCTATCAAGAAGTTGTCACCAGTCACCAGTCAAGGAGAATCCCATTCCTGAAACACCACGCTCATGTCCAGTATCGGCATCAGGGTCTCTTTCCTATTCAACAGTTATTCTCGGGGTTTAATCTTGAACCTGCTGCCTACTATCCTGGCCCAACGTCCTTTTTATACTCTTTTATCATTATTGTAAAGCACCTTTTATATTGGCTGATGTTTTAGAACTTTTAAAATCCCACATGGCTAATGGAAGTGCCTTCTGCTTCCTTAGGAATTTTGTAAATAAACTATTTAATAAATAGTGTGGACTGAAGAGTTGTCATCACTCCTGTAAATATGGACTGAATCCAACTGTAAGTGGTCCCAGAACTTAGAAGGAAAAGTACTGAGGCACAGCATTCGCAGAATATTGTTTCAGACCTTTTTAATATAGAGAAATCATTGATGTCATATCATGCGTTATCCTCATAGCAGCTGCCATTTATTCTCTGAAATCATCATGTCCTGATAAGTAAAAATTTAGAGATATAATTGCTTGTAAATAAAAGATTATACTCTAAAGATTTAAAGAATAAGCCTAAATAAATTTTTAAGACATGAATTATGCCTACATATGAATGAGCAGAGGAAAATAATGAGTGTTCATGTTATGGGCTACAATCATGCCTACAACTTCAAAATCCTCAAATCTCTGAAAAATGTTTCACAAATTATATACAAATTCAGTGCCCTGACCAATTGTGAGGATATTTATACATTTAATGTAACTATTTTATATTTTGGAACAAAAATGTTAATGTATTTAATTAAACTGTATTTTTTTAATTCAGAAAATTCTGAATTCTGAAACACATCAGGCTCATAGGCTGAAGAGGTTTTGGATTTGTCTTCAAGTTTTAAAGGGTCACATTTATAAGAAAATAATTCATTTACACAGTTACCTTAGCCTATTGCATATTTCACCAAATTTTGGGTGATGAATCATTATATCATTGCTCCTACTAACTCAAAAAAGATTAATAATATACATTTGGGGACAGAATTTTATTACATGCCCAAAACGCTTATAAAAGAATTAGATCGGATTCTCTAGATATTAAAGTTCCACGTGCTCTTACCAGAGCTGACATTCTCATTGGACAAGGAGTAATTTGAATCTATTAACATCTTCTAATTTCAGACCAATAAAGGAGCCTGGTGGTCTAAAAGAACAGGTACCTGTGACAGTAAAGATATGAGCTGAGTGGGCATCACCGTACTATGACAAAGGAGTGAACATTTTCCTGGGACTGGGCATCTAGGTTCCATCTTCATACAGAAAGATAATATCACTTTATTTGCACTCTGAATTATTTAAAACAAGTACAATATGTACATTTCACTGAACACAAGTTGAACATGGCTAAAAGTGGTTACATTTAGCAGGTACCTACAAGTATAACAAAACTGACATGTTCTTCAACCTTCTTACATTTGTGACCACAATTCAATGGTGGGATTTCACATACTCTAGGCTTACAAAAACCTATAGGACAGGAGATGAGTAACACGGAAAGTAATTGTCAAAACAACTTTTTGAATTTCAAATTATGTTTACACATAGAAAAGTTGTATATAAAATTTGAGTACAAAAATACATGTATAAAATTGCAGGTAGTCTTTATTTGGAAGGCTGAGGCAGTACAGGTTGCTGCTGGAGGTTAATAACAAATTCTACATGTTCAAAAGGCATGTTGCAAAATGAATGTCTGACTAATTATTAAATTAAGTATATGGGAAGATTTGTGCCTTGAAGTTTTTAGTGGAGAAAAAGACTTTTAACCACTAATTGCTTCAGAAATTGATTTATGTAAAGTGGCCTAGTGCTTTTTTGTTTTTAATTATCAATAAGAAGAAATGGCAACACCAGATGTTAGACTTAGGGGGAAATTACAAAATGTTTTACTCTGTGCAGTGTCTCGCTGTGCTTTGAAATATATTTCTGTACTTTATTGGTATGAATGAACACAGGAAAACAAAATTTTCGTATTTAATTTGGTGTGGGATACACTGTAATTTTCTTTTTTAAAAATTGCATTCCTCCAATCTAGAGCAGGTTCTCCTTTGGTAAACTTTCATCTCCATTTCATTTTAACACAGGCAGAACATATATTTCCCATGAATATTGACCTAATGCTGAAATCTTAATTAGCTGATATGCACTAGAAAAGCTCCAGAAACTAGGAAACAATGACAGAGGCTTTCCTGTGAAATCACATACTTGACTTAAGTCCAGAATGGACAGAACTGATATTCCAGGAGTCAATTGTGATGTCTAGAGAACTTTGCATATGTTTTGTGATTTCAGCAAGCTAAATGTGTGCTGATGTTTTTACCACTGTCTTTCAGAAATTCTCTGAATTACACAAACTTCGGAAGAGTAAATAAACACATAAATTAGTTTGGCTTTTAGTAAATCAAGAGCCAATCTCCACTGTTAATACTGAGATTTTCACCTAAACTACTGGGCTTGAGAAACAGAAACTGGAGTTCAACCAGTCTGGATTTGTGTCCTTTTGGTGATAGAAACGAAAGAAATTTTTTGTAACCTGTTAACCTTAAGGCCTGCAAATTTTAAATCTGCGGAGTTGCTACTTGCTTTCATATTACACTCAAAGTTAGACCTGGTAAAACCCGCTGTTTTTTTTTTTTTTTTTTTTAAGCTTTTC